ATTAAGAATTAATATAGCTAAAGGTTTCTATACAACGTCCTACATGAAGTCATGTGCTCATTAAGTGGTAGTGGTTTTCTTACTGATGGGAGCTCCTTTAAAAGAATAAACATTTGTCTTTACTATAGAGCAATGACAATATTGCTTCTTTGGGCAAATAATTGTATGTTAGGCACTATGCAAAGTATTTCACATACATTATCTTAATTCTTATTCTTTTCCTATTAAGTTTACCTACTTCATTTGATAGACAGGAAACAGTCTCAGAGGGGCAAGTCATTTACCAAAGCAAAATCTTAAATCCTCAGGAGAGATGGGATTTGACCCCAGAGTAATCTGCACTACTGTTGAGAGTTAATATTGTCGACTGCACTTGTGAGCACACCCAGCTGCCTCCATTCCCTCTAAAGACTTTTGCTTTGCACCACGCAGTGCTCTGACAAAGCCTGTGCCCAACACCATGTCGGTCATCACCACCCGTGCAGGCTGGAGTCAGAAACTCAAGGTTAAGGTGTGTGATTTGTAATAGGGTCCAATTTCCAGAACTGAGGTGGGTGTCTTATCAAATACAGCCTCAGCTGAGAAAGACGCTGTGGTCAGACAATCTCCATGGTCATTCCTACAACCTTGACTGGTGTCCTGGTGTCTGGACCTCTGCTTCTGCTCAGGACTATAGCTTCCATCCTCTGTTTGACTCCCAACATCTCCTGGTGACTCACAAGTTTTGATGCTGATTCTCAGGTCATGTCGGGTTTGAGTTGAGAATCTCTCAGTTATGGACTTGGATTTTGAATTCCTCCGCCCTCAGTAAGCATCTCTGCCATGTGTCCTACCATGCACCACACCACCTCTATTCTTTATTCCTTTCTTGCTAATAAAGAAACAGACATACCACTCTTAGGGCAAGATCATGGCTATGGGTCCCAGATCCAAACATAATCCTCATAAAAAAAAAAAAAATTGCTGAGGAGCTGACTTGCTCCTGAGTTGATTCTGATAGTAAAATATCTATAAGAGAAGGAGCACAAATCTTTGTATAATGTAATTAAGGCCACTGCTTTGTGGTCAAGAATTGTATTCATTTAACATGTATTCAAGTTAGTTAGTTAGTTAGTAATTCAAAACTCTAACTAAGCCTGCAAAGATGATGAAAGTCAGGTACTTGCCTAGCTGCAATCATTGTCTTCTATGGGAGACAGATATGTAAACACAGATAAATTAAACTTCAACGTGGGAAGGGTGCACATCAAAGGTATGGACGAAGTGTTACAGAAGCATGTAGAAGTTTGCTTCTAACTTTGCCCAGGGAAACTTGCTAGATGAAGTAGGAAAGTGCATTCTGGGCAAAAGGCACAATCGAAGACCCAGTGTTAAGAAAGGGCAGGGTATATTCAAGGAACCATGAAAAGTGCACCTGGGGATAGATAACAATAATAATAATATCTATGATGATGATAACAGATACATAGTAATTAAGGTATTGTCCTGAACCTTACGCATACTGAATAATTTAACCTTCACCTTACCCCATTAGATAGATGCTGGTATTAACCCACTTTTATAGATAAAGAACTGAGGTACAGAGAGATTAAGTAACTTGCCCAAGATCACAGCTAGCAAGGGGCAGAGTCAAGGTTAGAATTCTGGCCCTGGAGCAGCATGCTGTTAACCAGTCACATCAAACTGCCTCTGACAGAGTCAGTACGGGCAGTCCCCGGAGAGGATGCTGGGACGTTGCTAGGGACCATTATGCTAAGCTCAGGCAATGGAGATTCAACAGGGATGTTTAAACAATGGCATCCTTCTGAGCCAAGAGTGAAATGGAAGGTGATTAGCACAGGAGAGAACTTAGGAGGCTCTAGCAAGAGATGACCTTTCGAATAAAGGGCAGGTTATGACTGAAAGACATTTCTGAGGTGGAAGCAACAGACTTCAGCAATGATTAGCTCTGAGTATAAGAGGAGCTGTCAAGAGTGACACAACCTGGGAGTTTGTTGGAGAGTGAAGAGAATTCAGGAGGAAGTGAAGAATAAAGGGGAGGAGGCAAAGGATAATGAGTTCCACTTTGAATCTATTGATTTGGGACAGTGGTCAGCAACCTCATTAGTCAACAGCGCCAAATATCAACAGTACAACAATTGAAATTTCTTTTGAGAGCCAAATTTTTTAAACTTAAACTTCTAATGCCATTACTATGTCTCAACAGCCTCTTTTTGTTCTATTCACTGGACCTTTCTTTCTGCTACTGTACAAGTTTTCCTCTTCCTATATTTGAACTTGCCCTAGAGTTTAAGTTTAATAGCTGTTTGTAGCATAGAATAATCTTTTGCACAATTCTTTCATTCACTTATTCTATAAATATTACTGAGGGTGTACTATACACAGTCACCACATAGGCACTTTTCCAAGCTGCATCCCTCTTCTACTCAACAATTCCGCTTTCCTCCCTGAAGCCTCGCTAAGTAGTTCTTCCCACTCGGTCAGGGCAGGAATTTCCTTTTTTGCTTTCAGGATCAGTCAAGAAACATTTGAAAACCTACTTCAGGACATTACAAAGAGAAGGAGCTAAAGAGCTTCTCAACAATTCAGAAATTTCCTCTTTTAAGATTAAATATAATGAATAACAAAAGACTCTTCTCAAGGCAGTTTTTTAATCTATTCTAAAAAGCATGGGAATAAAAGATGAGTCCTCTGATACAAAGCAGTCCAAAAGAAATACCCATAAGAAAGCAAATTGAGAATGTAAGGTCATATTTAAAACTTTAAAGTGAAAACTAAGATCTCAATGGCTTTGACAATTATGACTATTAATTTAAGATGGTATTGTCAATCCAGGTATTTTTAAAAATTTTTATTGATTGATTGATTTTATAGAGAGAAATGTGAGAGAGAGAGATTGAGAGAAAGAGAGAGAGATTGAGAGAGAGAGATATCAACTTGTTGTTCCACTTATTTGTGCATTCATTGGTTGATTCTTGTATGTGCTCCGACCAGGAATCAAACCTGCAACCTTGGCATCTGTCAAGGCAATTCAGATAGTTTTAAAAGCAAAAGTGTTCCTAAGGAAAACTACATTATATAGAGCTTAGTTTCTTAGTACAAAGAGCCTGAGGAAATGAAGAAAAACAGCTTTCAAGTGGGTAACAAATTGCCAAAATTTTTCTTGATTTTCAGATCCTGTTTCTTCATACAAGATTGCAATTATTTAGAAACTGACATATGTACAGGAACACGCCCTGCAAACTGGCCCTTCTCGTTAGAATATCATTCTAGTTTTGCTGATCTCATTCTAAGAAATACTTGAGAGAGGAAACCATTATAATCTAAGAAAAAAGCTCCAAAGAGGTGATTATTGGACTTGGCACACAGTAAGTGATCAATAGTTGCTGAAGAGTAGGAAATAAAAATTGACAATTAGTTGTGTAATTTTCAGGTGGTGAGGATCACATCGTCTATTGCCTCCATTTTTATTGCTAAAGTCTATCATTTTCTCCATCTGTTCACTCAAATATAATACAAGGAAAACGCTGGCCATTTTATTCTCTTTCCATGGAAAAAGATTCCCCTGCCTCTTGAAAAAGGCTTCATGGAGCAACAGAGTTTGGTTTGGTTAAGAAAGATACTGTTATAATAATCAGACATTGTAATAAGCTACACAGGGAACTTACGGAAACTATATCCCCAGAAACTTCTGAAAATAGTACAAGCAAGCACAGTAAAAGGTCCTAGGTATGACAGCACTTTCATCAAAAGGAAGGTAGACCAAATAAACTTTTTCAGGTCTTCTCCAGATTAAGAAAGAAGTCAAGTAAACTCTGCATTTGTAAAATGAATTGGTGGTTTCTCTAAAATAAAGCAGATGTCGCTGTAGCCTGGAGCTTGCTGTCTACTGCGGGAATGAAAGTTACATAGGATGTAAAATCAGGCCATAACAATCCAGCAACATTAGGGTGCCCACTCTGCACCCAGCGCGACCCAGGTGGGCACCCTGAGTTGGACCCTGTCAGAGACAGAACATTTGATGGGTTGGATCACAAGGCTGAGATAATGCAAGAAACTCTTGGTCTTCCATGTCTTCCCACCACTCTGGCAACAGCCAAGCCACTACCAAGAAACTACTGTATTGTGTTGACTCCTTCTGTTAGTGGCCGAGAATCTCACTATTTCTTTGGTCTGACTGCTCTTCAGGGGTCATCGCTGTTCAGCCTTGGGTCAGTTCCATTCAACCTTTAAACATCTAGCATCTGTCAGACACTTCACTAATCACAAGAAATCCCAAAAGCACTTCCTCAGTATGCTGCTAACTGCCCCCTGGCTTCTGTGAATGGGCAGGTCAGCCCTCAGTTCTTCACTCCCGCCTGGGAATCGCCCTGGAGTGTGTAAAAGCTGTGGCCACATTGCCCTTCACGTGGAAGTCTGAGCATAGCTCACCGGTAAGAAACCAAAGCCGCTCTGACGTGGAGTCCGTCCTTGCTGACATCAGACTCGCCATCAGAATATCACCCCAACTAAAGGTGAGAAGCTGCTGCTGTTTTTTAGGGTTGGGGAGGAATGAAATCTGTCTAACCTTGTCCTATAGGGCACCTCTCCCTGGGAGAAGAAGGTATTTCATTCAAAAGCAAATCATTATTTGGTTACACATTTTTAAACTGCTGTGAAAAAATAGAGATGGGATTGAGGGAAGAGGTGTTCCACTGTTCTTTCAGGCTGTTTAAAGTTTAAAGGAATCAGACGGAATAAGACCTAGCACAGGATGCGGACAAATACTAGTAACAGATAAGCTGCCCCTTGATTTTTTTAAAACTAGACTTTGAAAAGGAAGTCCTGGTTTGTTTTTAAATCACTACCTCTACTATTGATTTTTACAGCAAACACAGCAAATAAACCTTCCCTTTCATTCTAGGACAGTCAACACGACAGCATTTCTTCCCAGGCCAAGTGTGAGTGAGTCACAGAAGGATGTGTCCGTGGCCGTGAACTCCGTGTGGGAAACCTCTTACCTTCGAAAAACTGCTGCAGGGCCTCGCTCTCGCCCTCCACCTCCATGGTGCTGCGGGGTGCTTTCCTGTCCGGAGGGGAAGTCCCGCTGTCCCCACCAGTCCCTGGCTAGGAGTGCTCTCGGAAAGTCTTCATTTTCTTTTTGTTGGAGTGAAGTGTGTCTTCAGCATCTCTTGTGCCAGAGACCCAGGGAAATGGTTAAGTCATCAAAATGATTATAAAACCAGAAGGACATTCAACCACGCAGGGAAAGCAATGTCAAAAACGGGCCGTGGTAGCCAATCCATGGATCTTCCTGCAGGGAGGTGCTTCTCCTCTGCCTCTCGCCTTTGTTTTAAGGACCTTTGTCCTCAGTGACACACGTCTTACATAAATGGGCAATAAAGGCAGCCTTATCTCCTGCCCATCCTGTTGCACCAATGTGCCTGTATCACCCCCTCTATCTACCTGATCGGTTTCGACAAGGCCAAGCAAAGAGACAGGGTAGGTTTTTCCGCCTAGAAAAAGGGGCCAAATAGGTAATCATTTTGACAGAGACCCAGAAGAGCAGGCCTGTAACAACAAAAAATTGGGATTTGTTTAATATTTTTAAATTAACTCACAGCTAAAACTTATGTTGCTTGATACACATCTAGTTTATATCCCTCAGAGTTTGTTCTCTCTGAAAAGTATAAACCATCAAGTAAAAGAAGTCCCTCTTAGGAGCAATAAAATTGCATTTCTGATTTGATAATTTTTACAAACAAGTTTATGTTGCATTACCAGTTGGTTTCACTCTTAAATATAAAGCCAGACCCAAATAAATATTTGATTTTCACAGCTTAACTATTTATTTGATTAATGATATCCTAAAAATACAATTAGCAAATTAAAACAGTTCTTTCAGCCAGCCCCCTTTCTTTTTTCTTTTTCCAAAACTTTTTATTTTGAAAAAGTTTTTAAACTATAGAAAACTGAAAGAATAGTTCCATGAAATGACGAATACTCTTCATCTAAATTTACTATTTACTAGTATTTTCTCACTCTTGCATTTTCTTTCTGGATATATCAACCTGTTGGCTGAGCCGTTTGAAAATAAGTTGCTGACATCTTGGCATTTCACTCAGAAATAATTCTGTATATGTATATAAATCTCCTCACAAATAAGGACATCCACATAGTCACAATATAATGATTATCATACCCAAAACTGCAACATTAATTTAATATTGATAGTTCATATATAATTTCCACCACTGTCCCAAAATATCTTATTCTTTTATGATTTTTTGTTTTGCTTTATTTTTGTTATTGTTGTTCATACTCACCCAAGGACATTTTTCCCATTGATTTTTTTTTTTTTTTTTTTTTTTTTAGAGAGTGGAAGGGAGAGAGAGAGAGAGAGAGAGAGAGAGAGAGAGAGAGAGAAACATCAATGTGAAAGAGACACATCAATTGGTTGTGTTCTGGTTCAATTCCTGGACCAGAGCCAGGAATTGATCCTGCAACCCAGGTACATGTCCTTGACTGGGAATCCAACCCAAAACCCTTAGGTGTGCAGGACAATGCTCTATCTACTGAGCCATATCAGCAAGGGCTGATTTTTCTTTTTCTTCTACTTTTTTTTTTTTCTGATAAAAGATCCAATGAATGTTCATGTAATGTCTCTGGTTCTATATTTTTAAAAATATAGAACTCTCTTCTTGTCATTTTGGTTGGTTAGTTGGCTTTTTATAATAATGCCCCCCCTTTTTTTTACAGTCCAAGTCCATTGTCTGATAGAATGTTCCACATTCTGAATGTCTCTGGTTGTTTCATTATTATTAGGATTAGTATAGGTAATATAGTATACTTCTTAATAAGTATTTTTTAAACTTCATACCCATAAATTGTTCCTTTAAAATGAGCAAACTAATTTTGTGTGGGGGTGGGGGACAAAGAGAGGCTTAGAATTCTACTTTGAAGGTCACATTAAGTCCCAGATCTTTAAGGACAAGTCATCAAGTTGTTTGAAGAAATGAATTTTCTACGTGTTTCAATTAAACTTGAACTGAACTCTCTGCTGGGCGCAGAAAATAAAAAGGTAAGCAAATAACAGTCCCTGCCCACCATGGGCTCAAATCCAGGGCGTGAGAAGAACACCAGCAACGCCACTGAAGGTGGCCTCTGATAAGGGCTAGGGAGAGCATCCAAGAGAACAGAGGAAGGCACGGTTCGCTCAATCTGGGAGGATCTGGAAAGGTGTCACAGAGAGCTGGAATGCGAGGAGACAAACACAGATGGGTCTTTAAACACCTGAGCAATGACTTGGAAGGGAGAGAGCCTGGGTGCAGAGACTGGTATGACAGTGCGTGCTTGGTCTGGTGAGAGAGAAGATGGGGAATAGGCTAGGTTTAAGTAGGTATTGGATGTTAAGCTAAATCTAAATTTGATTCTATGCATATTCATTGTAAGTATATCTAAGTATATGATTTCTATTTGGGTAGTTGTGGTACATGATATCATTACTTCTAACTCAGAAAGATAGCTGTGTTCGAACGTGTTGATTAGGGCGGTGACTACAGTTAGACGAGTTCAGAAGCATCTGCAAGAATCTGGGTAGGTAGTCATAGAGCCCGAAAATGATATAGAACCAAGAAGAATTGGCTCCTGGTTTGACATGGGGAGCCGGGAAGAAGTCAAATGTTATTTTGAAAAGGATTTCTAAGCCTTTAGCTGCAATATAAATGAATATAAAGCATGTAGCCTCCAGCTAAATCCAGACTCAGAAGCTCCCAGCCAAGTTTTCTGGAGGCCATGGAGCAAGCATCACACTCTATCTCTGCCAAAAAGATGGTTTGGGATCCTATTCAACAGTTCGCCTAGGCACTTCACACTCTCAGCAGCAGGGAATGAGTGACAGGAAGCATCTCAGAGAAAGAAACTAGAATCCAGAATGCAGGAAATGAGCTGAGAAGCAAAGCTTAGAATTGGGAGTCCCAAGCTCCAACAGTTACAGGGGCAGGCAGGTAAATGAGTAGAATGGGTCAAAATAAGAGAAACCAACCACGCAAGCATGTTGATCACTGACGGCTGACCCTCTGTCCTGGTGTCAGGGAGACAGTCAGGGGTGGTGGGCATAGAGCAAGCCGGAGTATATCCCTGATACAAGGTGGAGCCCCCAGCAGAGGGAGCCACTAAACTTCCTCCAACAACCTGGGCTCTGTGTTGTCAAAACCGCCAATTTTTAAAGAGAAGATGAAAATGCAGATTTTAATTTTAAATTCAGTTACAACTAATTTGTTTAAAAGAAAAACAAACGCAAACCTTATCAAGGTAAAGTAGCATACATGTGAACGCACAGTTCAGCCTGCAGGCTAAGTCACAAGGTCTAGGTTATAATAACCAACAGGGCTTGAGGGAAATCAAGAGAATTCACAAGGAAGTTGTTGGAAGGTAGGACAAATACATATGAATTAATGAATCCAGGACACACAGGTGAGAGCACAATCCAGTTGGCGGCATTTCATTTTGGATTTAAGTGGAAGTTTCTCCCTCTCAGACAACTAACACTCCCCATCTTTCCTAGATGAGAGACTTCTAACATTTTCTGATTCTATTGGGCAGACTTGGTGGCAATCCATTCTCTTTAAATAGTTGAATATCTAATGCATATTCCTTTTTTTTTTTTTATTATCACTGATTTTTCAGAGAGAGAGGAAGGGAGCAAGAGAAACATCGATGTGAGAGCGAAACATCAATTGGCTACCTCCTGCATGCCCCTCACTGAGGATTGAGCCTGAAACCTGAGGAAATGAACCAGCAACCTTTCCATGCATGGGGCGACGCCCAACCACTGAGCCACACTGACCAGGGCTAATGTATACTCTTGGCTATCTAATGTAGCCATGGTTTGGATTTGGTTTGGTATGAATTTCATGGAGAACTCCAATAGGTAAACAGATAAAAACTGAGCTGCTCTGCTTAAACCAGGGATGGGGTTAAAGCTGGGGATGTAATGGAAACCTTGTCTCCCTTGCGACTGACTGTTCCTGAGGCTGTAGGCCCAGAATTTTAGTGCTCAGACCTCAGGTATGTGAACTTGTACTTCCTTGAGAGCAGCTTTAGAAAGGGTTTCTGTTCTCTATATTTCAGCAAGTACGCTCCTTTTCTGTGGTACTGATGCTTTTTTAATTTAAAAAAAAATGCATGCATTGTTTTCAAAGATGACTTACATTATTTCTCCATTAACAACTACCACTGTGGAAACTTGATGAAATTTCCTGTTGAATTTGGTTTGTTTGTTTTTATCCTAAGTGAAATGGGAAGCCACCAGAGGACTTTAAGCAGGGAAGTGACATTATCTGATTTATGTTTTAAAAAGATGGCATAGTCTGCTGAGCCAGTGACTGTGGAAGGGCAGGACTGGAAGCAAGGACAAGTCTGAGATTTCTGCAGGAGTCCAGGTGAATGGTGCTGCTGGCCTGGGATGGGTGCAAAATGTGCAGAGAGTTGTTGGGTGGGATCGAGGGTGGTGATGGCAGAAATGGAGAAACCAAGAATAAGCCCTAGATTATGTTAGGTTTGAGATGCCCATTAGAGGTGCAGTGGAGGAGTGGAGTAGAGTCCGGAGCTAGAGAAGGGATTATGTCAGGGCTGGAGATGTAGAGTTATAACTCCAGGGGCCTAGATGGGATGATGTAAAGAGTGTTTGCTAGTAGCTAAAGAGAAAGGGGCCCAGGACAAAACTCTGAGTATTTAAAGGCTGAGCCAAGAGGCAGCGGGAGCTGTGACCAGAGCTGTCACAGAGCACTCCACATTCCTGACCAGGGTTTACGAGGACCTACCTACACGCTCTGCCTCCTGCCTGCCTCTCCGATTGTCTCCTACCACTCTTCTTAGCACCAGCTTCACACTGTGTCTTTTCGCCGTTTCTCACATGTGCCAAGCTCACTTCTTCCTTAGGAGCTTTACACCTGCTCTCCTCCCTTTGCAAAGCTGAGTGTGATCAGAGCTCAGCTTTAAAATGTCACCTCCTAAGCATGTCCCTCTGGACCACCCTCTCTAATCCATTTCCCCATTTAAGTATA